ACCCTCGACACAGGGGACACAGGAAGGTCCTGGCCCGGAGGGGAGAGGAGGGAGAGACTGGGGAAGACCAGAGACAAGGACACGGGAAGCCATGCTCCGAAGACGGGGCAAGGAGGGGTGGCCAAGACGGTGGTGCCACAGGAGAGTCTCGTGAGACAGGAGGCGACAAGAACAGGGGGCAGACTCAGGACCTGACCGGGAAGCAGCAGCAAACACCTGACCTGACGCAGCTACCCGACCAGACGCAGGGACAGGAGGAGACGAAGTGGTCAGGGTGTAGAGACTCGACCCCGGCCGACGCGAAAAGGTGGCCAGGTGTCGGCCTGTGTCTGCGTCCGTGCAGTGGGTCACCCGTCGCCTCGCAGGAGTGAACTGGTGAACCCCCGCATCCTGTAGGTCCGCACCACTCACCAAGTTCGTAGAGAACGAGGGAAGGTACAGACCAGACAGGGTGCCCGAAGGGGCAGCCGGACACGGGAGGACAGTGGAGAAGTGAGACAGGACAGGACCCCCAGAGGGGTCAGCAAGGGAGACCGCAACCGGCCGGCCAAGAGGCATAAGGGTAGTGCGGTCTCGAAAGAAGGAGCGAGAAGCCCCAGAGTCAAGTGTGAAAGTGAGGGAGAACGAGGGCGACGCAGTACCTGAGAGCGCAGTCTCACCAGCACCTGAGAGCGCAGTCTCACTAGTACCTGAGAGCGCAGACGCACTGGCACCTAGAGCAGCAGCCTCACAAGTACCTAGCGCAGCAGTACCAATGCCCGGGTCGGGCTGGAAACACCGGTAACCCTCATTCTCCTCACTATAAGTCACAGCATACATAGCAGAAAGGATAGCATCAAAATCAAGATCAAAGATCGCTACACCAGCCCTAAGGAGCTCATCCCAGCGAGGGATCTCACTAGCCCCGGGGAACTGCTGACGCCAAGCGTCCGTGAGGCGGCCAAAGCAGCGCTGGGTGGAGTGGGCACCCCCACACTGCTCACCCGCGCGGTCGCCGGAACGAAGAACGTAGGCGCAGGGACCAGTACCCCCACCCCTCTGACGCGCAGCGTACCACTCACGAAGCTGCTGAGGCGGAGGGATGTCCCGCGAACGCTGCTGCTGCTGCCGCTGCGAGCGCTGGGCACCACCACCGCCGCTCCGCTGCTGGGTACCACCACGACCAGCTCCACCTCCTCCACCACCACCGCCTCCTCCGCCGCCGCCTCCACTGCCTCCACCTCCACCGCCTCCGCTCCCGCTGCTGCCTCCACCACCACCGCTGGCACTACCACTACCGTCTCCGCCGCTGCTGCCACCCACCACCACCACCACCACCACTACTCCCGCCGCCACCCCCACTCCCTCCGCCGCCTCCGCTGCCACCGCCACCGCCCCCTCCAGCTCCGCCCGCGCCCTTGCCCCCCTTGCCCTTGCTAGAGCGACGTCTCCCACTAGGGGCAGACGCCGCGCCGACCGACTCAAGACCAAGCAGGTCGGCCGCAGCAGCAGAGGCAACAGAGGGCAGCAAGGGGGAAGGAGAGCACCCCTCAAAGATGGGGGTGCGAGGGTCACCACGAGAGGCACCTACAGCGACTATGCTCTTCTCCGCTGCGAGGAGGGCCTTCTCGAGGAGGTCGACGGTGAGAGTGGTGGGACAGACTGCGAGAAAGTGGTCCCTGACTACGCGGAGGGAGTCAGGGAGGCGCGCGACTACGTAGTAGAGAGTGATGTACATGGGGGGGGGGTTCTTAGCGCAGAACTCAGCAGGAAGGGCGGCGCGGTAGCGAGTGTCACTAGTGCGGAGGTGCGTAATGAGGTCAGTGACAGTGGGAAAGACAGAGAGGTCAGGAAAGAGGTAGGGAAGCATGAGACGGCTCAGTGCAGCAGTGGCAGGGGAGGAGTAGCGCGCAACTACAGCGTCGTACAAGGTCTGAGCACTCTTGTACTGACTAAAGTGCGCACGCTCAGAGGTAGGGAGGTGGCGACGCACAGCAAGACGTGCAGCAGCATCGCGGGTGGCCCACTGAGAGCGGACAGTGGGATCAGCATCGGCAGCAGGAGCAGGAGAGGCGCCAGAGGTGAGGTCAAAGAGAGAAAGGCTGTCAGCTCTGTCGCACTGTAAGAAAAGCTGCAGGTCGTCTAGCCAGACCTCAAAATCAATGGCTCGACCCTCGGCGTCAAAGGCTAGGACACTAGGGGTGGCCATGATGACGACAGCGAAGCAGTGCAAGCAGTAGGGAAAGAGGGCGCAGTGACAGAGGGACTGTGCTCACCAGGCAGGGCAAGTCGTGCAGCTCAGCAGAAAGGCGGATCGACTCCCGGGCAGCTCGGCAGCTGTGGGGCGGCTCGGGTGCTGCTGGGCGGCTCGGCCGCTGCTGGGCGGTCCGGCTGCTGCTGGGCGGCTCGGCTGCTGCTGGGCGGCTCGGCTGCGGCTGGGCGGTCCGGCTGCTGCTGGGGCGGCTCGGCTGCTGCTGGGCGGTCCGGCTGCTGCTGGGCGGCTCGGCTGCTGCTGGGCGGCTCGGCTGCTGCTGGGCGGGCCGGCTGCAGTGCAGCGGCGGGGCCTGGACAGAGGCCGGCGGGGCCGGGACAGGTGCAGTGGCGGGCCGGGAAAGGTGCAGCGGCGGGCCGGGACAGGTGCAGCGGTGGGCCGGGACAGGTGCAGTGGCGGGCCGGGACAGGGGACGGCGGGGCCGGGTGTGCAGTGGCGGGGCCGTCAGGGTGCAGCGGCGGGCCGTCAGCAGGTACAGCGGCGGGCCGTCAGGGTGCAGCGGCGGGCCGTCAAAAGGTGCAGTGGCGGGCCGTCAAAAGGTGCAGCGGCGGGCCGTCAGGGCTCAGCGGCGGGCCGGGAAGGTGCAGCGGCGAGGCCGGGAGAGGGGACGGCGGGGCCGTGACAGGAAACGGCGGGGCCGGCAGAATGCAGCGGCGGGCCGTCAAAAAGGGGACGGCGGGGGCCGTCAAAAACGGGGCCCGTGGCCGCGACGAAGCGGCCGCGTGGCCGATTCGAGGGCGGCGGGGCACAGCCGGGCCGAGAGGGCGGCGCGGCGCGGCCGTAAAGCCCCGCGCGACGTGGGCCCGAGCCGCGCGCGCAAAAAAAAATTTCGCGCGCTACTCGCGGGGGGCCCACAAAGGCAGCGGGAAATGCACTAAGGGGGAGGGGGGGAGCGCGCCTCGGGGAGAGTAGGGCGCTCCGGGCAGAGAGAATATCGTGGGTGGGCCCAAAAAAATCGGTCCTTAAGAGGGACCCGCTCTATACCATGTGAAGATAGGTAAACAGGAATGAAATGACTAAGTCAGAAATTGGTACAAATGGGAAACGTAATTGTGTTGTACCCCTTATGGGATACCCCACTGTAGCCTACACAAACAGGTAAGCTATATGTTCTGACAAGCTAAGCTGAGGTCGCGGAGTCGCGCGAAGGTTGGGTGTGGGTTTGGGGTTGGAAAACCCGAAGGCGACGCGGAAGACGTTCGGGAGGCGAGGTCGACGGACCGAGCCTGAATTCCGAAAAGTTGGGATCGTACGCGTAAGAGGTGCCTCAGCAAGGAATTAGCGAAAATTCCTTACAACCAAGGTTGGATCGATACGGTGTAGTGTAACCAACCAACTAGAGTTTTGAGTCCTCTATCCCCAACCTTATCAGAGAAATGTGAAGTGCACATGTGAGATCACCAGAAATACTAGTGAAACATGGAAAACGTGCTCCTGTATGGATGGCCCCAAATAATAAATCCTATGAGTGTGAGATTTCAGAGCTACGATTTGCTCAGCAAAATGCACAGACAGTTCAAACCCGGACATTTACACGAACTGTAAACATCTCTGGTTGACGTTCTAATGAACTGGCAAACGAGTCACACTATTGGCAAATAGTGGCACCCCACATACAACGCTGATCGACTGGTCAGATCAGTACAACCCACGCCGCTCCCCTAGCCTTTGCTGCAGTCAGGGATAGACCACCCAGAATCTGTGGTCTAGGCGCCTAGATCACGTCAGGCTAGGCTGGGCCAGTTAGATATCAGGCAAACTCGGTCTGTTCGTGCTCGCCTTCGCTTGTTATACGTCCGCCGCTTTTAATCTGAGCACTTGTCGCTGCTGTACTTGATTCGCAATCTACTGAGCATCAGTTATCAGAATGTATCCGTCAGGATCGACCGCGTCGTTAGCGGTCGCCGTCACGACTGCCGGCGCGGCAGCGGCAGCCGTGATCGCGTGCCGTCTACTCTTCTCTCCTACACCAGCAGCAGCCGCAGAAGCAGCAGCAGCAGAGGCAACGACATCGAATCCCAACTCAAAATCCGGAACCGAGAACGCGGTATCGAGAATATTTGACTCGTCAGATACCTCTTTAAATGCCGCGCTTAAATGGCTGACATCCGCGGCGCGCGGGATTAAAGACCATGCGGAGCGGCTCGTCGGACGCGTTAAGGCCGAAGCTGATCCTTCCGATTCGGGATATTTAGACTCGATAGTATCTTATTTACCCCAAGGATACAGTCTAGCTGGAAAAGCAGCCACCGCTGCCGCGATTGCCGCTGCAGCGGTGATAGCGGTGGGCGGGACGGCCCTCGCGGTCCGGGCCGCAGTAGGCGCGTCGCGAAGAAAACGGCGGCGCCGCGTGATCGGAATCATTCCCGCGCGATTCGCGTCGTCGCGGTTCGTGGGGAAGCCGCTAGCGCTGATTGCGGGGCGACCCATGATCCAGGTACAGCGATTCCATGAGAGGAGGGAGAGGGGGAGAGGGGAGAGGGGGAGAGGGGGAGAGGAGAGGAGGGGGGGAAAAGGGGAGGGGGCAGACATGGTCAGGGTGAGAGGGGAAAGAAAGGGAGAGGAAGCGAAGGAGGGAAGAGGGAGGGGGACGTGAGAGGGGAGAGCAGGTCCTTCCCTCACCACCAACCACTTCTCTCGCTGCCTTGTTCTTACTCTACTTAAACCCTCACCCCTCTTCATCCCTTCCCCCCCCAGCCTCCATTGCCCCGCTACTCTGCCATCACACGCGCTCTCCCTCCTGTTTCTGATGCGCCTCAAAATCGCACACGCTCCCTCCCTCATGTCATCCATCCTGTTTCCCTCCCTCATGTCATCCATCCTGTTTCCCTCCCTCATGTCATCCATCCTGTTTCCCTCCCTCATGTCATCCATCCTGTTTCCCTCCCTCATGTCATCCATCCTGTTTCCCTCCCTCATGTCATCCATCCTGTTTCCTTCCCTCATGTCATCCATCCTGTTTCCCTCCCTTCCTCCTCTTTTCCACCCTTCCCGCTGCACCCTTCCTGTCTTCTCTCAACAAAACAGAATCCCGCTCCTCGACCCACCCTTCCCTCACTCCCCTTTTCCCCCTCCCCCCCCCCCCCGCCACTTTTTCCCCCCTTTGCTCCTGCCCTCAGCACACGTGGGAGCGTGCAAAGCTCGCTCAAACGCTCGATCGAGTGGGTACGTGGGAGGGAGGGAAGTGGGGAAGGTGGTGGGAGGGAGGGGAGGGAAGGGAAAGGCGGGGGGTGGGGAAAGGGAGGGGAGTAAAGGGGAGGGGACGAAGGCGTGGCGAGAGCAATGAGGGGCTCTCAGCTGGCGCCGCCCCTTACCTTCTCCCCTTGGTCCCTCTTTCTTCCCCTGCCTTGCTCCTCTGTGTGTGTGTGTGTGCGCGCGCGCGCGCGTGTGCATGCGGGTGCGTGCGCATCTGTGTGTCTTTGTATGTGTGTGTGTGTGTGTCCCTCTCTCTTCCCTTCCCTTATACCCTCGCTCCCTGCATGCCTGCATTCCGTTCCCCTGCTCCTCGCCTCACTCCTTTCCTTCCCTCCCCTTGCAGTCGTCACGACGGACGACGAGAGCATTGCTAGCTGCTTTTGAGTCGACTCAGAAGTCCCCTCCCCTCGCTCCCCTCGCTCCCCTGCTGCTCCCCTCGCTCCCCTGCTGCTCCCCTCACTCCCCTGCTGCTCCCCTCGCTCCCCTGCTGCTCCCCTCGCTCCCCTGCTGCTCCCCTCCCCCCCCTCTCCCCTCCCACTGCAGTGGTCGAGACGGACGACGAGAGAATTGCTAGCTGCTGCAGGGATTCGGTGCTGAGGTCATTATGACGTCAGCAGCTTGTGGAAACGGTAATGCTGAGCATGGGGGCATGGGTGTTTTAGCCGGTTGCACCTGCATGCCAATGGAATGGACGTATCACGCAAGTATCATCAATGCATCACATGCTTACGGTAATCACACACGTCCAACAACAACGCTCAAAACGCCTAACATTGTGGCCCTCACTCTTTCCGAAACCAATCTGGCAGGTTCGGAGCGGTGTGCCGAGGCAGTGGAGAGGCTCAAGGGGCAGTGGGACGTGGTGGTCAACATTCAGGGTGACGAGCCTCTCATCGGACCCGGCCACGATAGATGCCGTGGGTTATAGCATTGCAGGTGAGTGCTCTGTGTAGGTAGCTGCAACTTTGATGCAGTAGGCAGCGGGGATGCTGATGGGACAGTGGGGGCGCTCAAGGGGCCAGTGGGATGTGGTGGTGAACATTCAAGGCGACGAGCCTCTTATCGACCCGGCCACGATTAATGCCGTGGTTATAGCATTGCAGGTGAGTGCTCTGTGTAGGTAGCTGCAACTTTGATGCAGTGGGGCAGCGGGGATGCTGATGGGACAGTGGGGGAGCTCAAGGGGCAGTGGGATGTGGTGGTGAACATTCAAGGCGACGAGCCTCTTATCGACCCGGCCACGATTGATGCCGTGGTTATAGCATTACAGGTGAGTGCTCTGTGTAGGTAGCAGCAACTTTGATGCAGTGGGGCAGCGGGGATGCTGATGGGACAGTGGGGGAGCTCAAGGGGCAGTGGGATGTAGTGGTGAACATTCAAGGCGAAGAGCCTATCATTGTCCCGGCGAAAATTGATGCAGTTGTTATATTCTACACTACCTGTTCACTTTTGATACCCGTGACACCCAAACCACCACCACCCAACTTCACTCACAGGAAGCACCCGAGGCGGTGGCAGCGACAGCAGTGGCAGACATAAAAGCATCAGCGGCGCCCGATCCGAACCGAGTCAAATGCGTGGTGGACAGCCGCGGCTTTGCACTCTACTTCTCACGAGCGCTCATTCCCCACAACAGGTGAGTGGTGGTGAGGAGCAGAGAGGTAGGGTCCTCACAGCAATTGCATTGCATGTTGCGTGCATGGTCGAGGAGGCTTTGCACTCTACTTCTCACGAGCGCTCATTCCCCACAACAGGTGGGCTGTCAGCAGCATGTGAACAACAGGTGAGTGGTGGTGAGGTGAGGAGCAGGGAAGTAGAGGCCTCCCAGCACTTGCGTGTTGCTTTTGAGTCGACTCAAAAGGTGAGGAGCAGGGAAGTAAGGCCCTCACAGCACTTGCGTGTTGTGAGCAGGGAAGTAGAGGCTTTGCACTCTACTTCTCACGAGCGCTCATTCCCCACAACAGGTGGGCTGTCAAGGAGGATTTGAACCTTGTCAAGAACGTTTCATTATCCTCCTTGAAAGGGTTCATTATCCTCCTTGAAAGGGTTCATTATCCTCCTTGAAAGGGTTCATTATCCTCCTTGAAAGGGTTCATTATCCCAATCCCAGTCCGCCTGTGCTTTCAAGCATTTGCAGAAATGCACCCTTGGTGTGTATTTCTCTCACAATGCCTCTGCCATACCATTGCAGGGACGGTGTGCCTCATCCTGGCTTCCCATACATGCTGCACCTGGGCCTGCAGGTACTCTACTTTTTCCCCTCTCTGTTAACCCCAACTCCCCTTCTCTCTCCCCCCACACCAACCCTCGCTCTTTTACCCATACATAATGCACCTGGCATACAAGTACTCTACTTACCCCAGTCTCTTTCTCCTTTCACCCCCCATTCTCTCCCTCTCCCCCTCAACCCGCCCCCCCCTCCCACACACACCTTCTCTCTTTTCCCATACATGCTGCACCTAGGCATGCAAGGACTCTACTTGTCCTCTTCTCTCTCTCTCCTTTCACCCACTCG